TGGGAATACTAAAATTCCAAACAGGCGACTCAGCATACTTCGACGGTTTGTCGTGTGATACTTTCTTCATTCGCGATTGAGATTCCTGATCATACCATTACCCAGTCTTGAGTCTCCAGTCGAGAGGGCAGGCTTCATCCGTCCTCGCTATGAAGACAACTCCAAAAGTTGCTATTCATGGAATGTGTCACTATACTCTGGATCAGGACTGGATGGTCTACAGGCACATAACGTGATATCACAGATGGCATCTAGATGGATACCGCTTGCAAAAGGCATGGACGCATGTAAACTATCCCCATGCAGTGTGCTACGTACTTATGCTTCTCGACTAGCAACGTCTCGAAGATCTCAAGGGGAAGAAGGCACATGACGATACAGCAAGAGCTCGGCGAAAGTTGCTGCGCAAGCCATCTTCAAAAACCATTTTCCGCCCCAAATACGAAGGCAAGTTTTGATCAGTGAAGGATACGAAACTTCGTCCACATGTCGGGGGCTTACAAGCCGCAAACTGCCAATTCCATTCTCAATACCAACTTCCATGACTACCCAAGCTGTTTCAGCCATGAAGCAGTACTTCCTCACTGTCAAGGCCCGGCCGTGGAGGCTGATCAATCCTCAAGTGTGGCGTCATATCTCCTGCGACGAGAGCTCCGTTTGAGGAGCGAGGGCCATGCCCGCACGCGATTCCGATTACAGTAAAATTATCCAGAAGTTGGTGACCTCAACCCACTGAAAACCCGCCCCTGATAGCCTTAGCCCATAAGCTCGTTGTGATAGATCAAGAATTCGAGTACAATGCCGCCACTCCCGAGTGACCTCCCCGGCAGATTTCCGAAGGTACCTGGATGGAGCCTGGGAAGACTCATCGAAGCCGACACGCCAAATCAATAAAGCTTCGCGACTCAAGGCGCTTGCGGCTACTGCTTTAGCCTCTAGGACCATCCCACCGGCACATATGTCTAGTGACGGTACCTGGAGCAGTGGAGTATGTCAAGACGCGTGCTGAAACTGTGCCTGCTGGACACGACGCCATGGCGAGTTATCCGCCTAGAGCTGCGAGAATAACTGGACTGAAATCTGCTTGATATTCTGCAACATCCCCTTTGACTCGAGCCCTTGATGCCTCCTCCCTTCTTACACCACGCTTGTCGCGTTACGCTGTTTCCGTATCGTCCGAACCTGGAAGCCCTCCGTGAGAACCAGGGGGGTAGCCGGCTAATGCAAATCAACGATCATCTGAATCTCCAAGCAGCCAAGGGATCCACCCGAGCTCTGTAAGATATCCAGCATCAGGCGGAGACAAAACAAGCGGACAGATGCACCAGAAACTGCGACTAGACTGATTGGGTGCCTGACAACCAAGCCCTCTTTCACCCCATTCACGGCAGGCTACGCAGCTCCCACGCCTTAGAGAAGATGAGTTACGACTGAGGGCCAGGCTCACCACGAAATTAGACGAGCTTCAAGGGGTGCAGCCGGATTCTGATTCAGGTTGTCACCCTCACTAAGCACAAAGTGCAATCTCCTGAGAATCATCGATAATCAATACCAAGACTCTCAATCAGCCAGGGAGGCATCGGTAACGGAAACGACCGTACAGCGATCGAGAGATACCAGAGCAGAAGAAAGTCACTCGGAATTGAAGGAAGAGAATGATCAAACAGTAGTATATCGCGTGACTGAACTTGGACTCGATCACAAAATCGTTGAATCGACATCTTCAGATTCGCAATTTCTAGGCTCTCTCCACCCTCTCAACTGATTTGGATGGGTCGGCATACAGACGCCCGACGGTATCACCTCGTTCCAGGCGGTGTAACTCATTCTTCAAGTTCCCGAACGCAACCTCCTCGATAGCAGGAGTAACTTCCTTCTTTGCAACCATTTCTAGCGCTGTCTCAACCTCGTCCATCGATGACCCAACAGATCCCACAAGGTGCACGCCCAAGGCGACGAAGTTATGCGTGTCGATTGTGGCCTCCTTCTTGGTGAGCCCGACGAGAACAACTTTGCCACCCGCCTTAACGGCTTTGGCGGCGGCAGCGGTGGTAATGCCGACTCCAGCAAAGTCAAGAACAACATCAAACTTGACGCCAGGGAAGTCATCCAGGGATCTTCCGCAGCAGTAGGCCCCGGACATCAGTGCTGCAGGATACTTGCGACGATGGATGTCGACCCCATAGACCTTGGCGCCATGGTGAGATGCAATTTGAACAGCGGATAACCCAAGGCCACCTAGTCCAATGATGGCAACTTTCGATGATTTTTGAACTTGCCCCTCAGTTACAACGGCATGGTAGGCTGTCGCAACGGCATCTGTGGCAACGGCGGCTTGTGCAAAGCTGACTCCGTCGGGTATGGGCAGGGTCTTCGATTCGTAGAGTAAAACGTATTCGGCGAATCCGCCGTCCATGCCGATACCGGGGCTTCTGACAACATCTCCGATCTCTACCGGGTGTTTCGCGGTGATTACAGACACGACTTTGTCTCCAGCGGCAAACTTCGAAACCTCAGGTCCACAACCAACTACTACGCCAGCAATCTCGTGGCCTAGAGTGATGGGCCTGTTCCAAAAGAACGTATTGTCGAGTCCAGAAATTATGTTGCAATCGGTGTGGCAAAGACCGGTCGCTTTGATCTGAACCAGAAGCTGGTCCTTGGCTGGGACCGGAATAGGTAGCTCACGGTACTCCAGGCCTTTCGCTGGGGTTGAGAACTGGTAAGCCTTCATCATCTGAGCCATCTATCCAGCGTTCCAGACAATCTTATAGATGTTTCTCAAAGAATCTATACTTGCTAAAGGTTATAAGTTGTGATATGATCGAGCTTTATACTAGTATTTGCGCAAAGGGTGGAAAGCGAGTAGAGAAACAAGGCTAACGGGATTTGATGTGTACAAATCGTAATCTGGGAGGAGTTTTATCACATATTTAACGGCATCTATGCAGCAAGACACTACACATCATGACGACGTCTTACCGTGTGCATGATTACTTAACATCTCCTCAGTCGGAATGGATCAAATCCATTGCGGCAGTTGAAGTTGCTTTTCACCTACGTCTACCTAGAGGATCCAGAGACTGGCATCTTGATCTCATTTGGTTCTTCCGTCTACGCCTGTCCGCTTAGAAATTGTCTGGGAGCCGGCGGGCCCGGATTACTCCGGCACTCCATCCGGAACGATTACTGATTAATTACCCCACACGTCGGTCCGTACCTTGAGGTTGCTCCACATTGCCCCGGATCCGAAGTTTGGGGTATGGTTTGGATCTTTGCCATTGAGTAATCAAGTGCAACAGCTGAGTGAAGGGGTCTTGTAAGGTATACAAATGTTCCATTCATTCTACTAAGCATACTAAATCTGGGCCTACGTCAGAGCTTCCGAGGGTGATTTTCCCAGTCGGAAAGGATGACATATCGCGGAGTCTTTACCGGAAGGTCAGGATGTCGTCCAGCACTGCTCTCGAACGCGAAAAGGGCGATGCAGGCGAAGAAATGTTTATAAAGTCCACTTAAGAGATGCTTAGACTTGAGGATCGATCTCTTTCATCGAAAAGAATACAAGTTAGCAACTTCATCTCACTCAAGTATTCAATATCCAGTACCGTCACAATCCTCAACGAACTTTGTTCACCATCGGAATGTCTACCTATCAAACAGTGGAGACTCAATATGTCGCCGTCGACAACACCCGAATCGCTTACCGCCGTATTGGGGTAAAGAGTCAGGTCCCTTTGCTTTATATCAACCATCTTCGTGGTTCAATGGACACTCTCGATCCTCTTCTCTTCAATACGATTGCGAAGTCAAGAGAAGTCATCGTATATGACAGCTTCGGTATCGGGCACAGTGAGGGCGAGGTGCCCTCTTCCACTGAAATCATGGCTTCAATTGCAGCCAAGTTTCTCGCTACCCTTGGTGTTTCCAAGGCTGATGTCATTGGCTTTTCCATGGGAGGTGGTGTGGCTCAGATTCTGGCATGGGACTATCCTCAGCTGGTTCGAAAGTTGATTCTGGCTGGAACTCAACCAGGTGTCGGAGAAGGAGTTGTCCTGCCACCCCGCGAGGTTCTAGAAAGTGCCGGAACAGCCAACGATGAGCCACCTACCAAGGAGGACATGTTCCATCTTTTCTACCACCCGTCGGAAACGAGCGTCGCACTCGGTGAAGCATGGTGGAAACGAATCCATGAGCGAAAGGTTGACGGCGAGGAGCGCAGAGAATACCTGATCGGACCTGGAGCAAGGGCCCAACTGAATGCAATCTTCTCGTTTACGGTTGATACGGACAACTTTGAGCGCATGAAGACTATCAAAGCTCCCACACTAGTCACCAACGGCCACACTGATGATATGTCGCCAACTTCCAACAGTTTCACTCTTCAACAGAACTTGTCGGATGCTCAGCTCATAATCTATCCTGATGCCGGTCATGGTCATCTATTCCAGTACCCAGAGCTTTATACACAACATCTCAACCTGTTCCTTGGGAGCAAGGAATGAGCTTTCTTAAGGAGTTTTCCGATAGTTCATCACACCTCCAATGTAAAATGTTGACACGCACTTCGCACGATAATATAACATATCGTAATTGTACTTACAATACGTCTGACTGGAAGCTTGATCGAGGTCTGATTTGTTCCAAGCCATTCAAAGGCCATCCAGGTATGTTCAGCGTATGGTCAAGGTGCCGATTAGAAGATAAAGTTACACCTTGACCGAGTGCCTTCCATCAAGGGAGTGTAGACCCACGAAGCCCTGTCCCATCCAGCTCCGAACCTAACACAATTCTGCTACGCAGCAGTCCTGTCCCATTCAAACCCAAAATACTGAAGTGACGGAAAATTCTGCAATGTGTGATCAAACTTCATTTCGCACCTACGATTTCGTTTTCTAACCGACATCTAACGCAAAACACAACAATTCACTACCTCATACATCTCCCGTATTTCAGACTTGAACAGCGAACAGAGCCCAATCTATTTTAAACTCGTCAAGATGCATCTGTCACCCTTCTTTCAGCTCATTGTTGCCGCCTTGATCACTCCTGGCATGGCACTTCCAACTGAGGTTAAAGAAACTGGCCAAGCAGCAATCAGCCATGCGCCCCCGACTCCGATGGCAGACTCCATTTCGGCAAAGGAGTTTGACGGGACTATGACGACCGTATCAACATCAACAAGGTGTATCCACGTAAGTAAACACATCACTGCATTATCTGTTGCTGACGTCTGACCTGATCGAAGGCGAGTTTGAGACCCCTTTGCCCTGCACTCTGCGGCATTACCTCGATTGCTGGGGATGATGTCTACTGGGAATGCGTACGTGGATGCGATTGCCGATCCAAAAAGCATGGCGGATATTAGTTTCCAAGATACATCAAATGTAGCGACTACCTACCATGAGGAAATTTGGACCGGCAATCTGGCAACCTTCTCATTTCAAAGGGATCCGCGTCAAAACCTGGATACATCAACAGACCTATATCATTATGAGTGCGGTATAGACATACTGTCCTTACCCAAGCAGTCATCAGACAAGGCCAAGGATTCAGATGACACTCTCGGCACCAACTCGACCATATTATCAAGTCGCCAGAACATTTGCCATAAATAGAATCAACATCAAGTTTTGCGGCATTACATTAAATGAACCAAGTCAGTAAAGGATTGGCTGTTATTCATGTGACTTGGGTGAAATAGATATTCTTTGACAGACTTTCGTCTTTCTTCATCACGTGTACCTACCCCGTTCAACAACGAAGTTATTAGTATCGCGCGAATCTATAACGAAGTGATATCTACCCATACCTCAAGATACCGTAGCTAAATGTCAACTTTAGTGGATGTGGTTCGAACACAAGATGTGGAGATCTCCCGTAGCCATGGTTAGCACTATCTTGTAGTAAATCACATTTTACGTTACTGGTCAAGCTCTCTGTCATCAGTCCAAATACACAGTTCCACAGGATCAATTGGACTTCTATTCAGCAATCAAATATATGAGATATTCTCGCTTTCCGTTTCCGATGTACTGAATCAAGCCGAAAGAGCATTCAGATTCAAGCTAACCTGGTGGCTACTTGTGTTTAGAAGACCTCCTCCTGCTCATCATCGTTGGTAAGTTGAACGTTGGGGTCAATATCGCGCTTGAAAACCTCCTCTTGCTCGTCATCGTTGGTGAGCTGAACGTTGGGGTTGATGTCCCTCTTGAAGACTTCCTCCTGCTCGTCGTCGTTCGTGAGCTGGACGTTAGGGTTAATATCGCGGCCCAGGAGACCCTTGGCGGCCTCGGCATCCTCAGGGTTCTCGGCAGCGAGAGCCTGGATGGCGGCGTTGAGATCGTCCTCGCGCTTGAAGACTTCCTCCTGCTCGTCGTCGTTCGTGAGTTGAACATTGGGGTTGATTTCACGGCCCAGAAGACCCTTGGCGGCCTCGGCATCCTCGGGGTTCTCAGCAGCGAGGGCCTGGATGGCGGCGTTGAGATCGTCCTCGCGCTTGAAAACTTCCTCCTGTTCGTCATCATTTGTGAGCTGGACATTGGGATCGATGTCACGGCCCAAGAGACCCTTGGCGGCCTCGGCATCCTCGGGGTTCTCAGCAGCGAGAGCCTGGATGGCGGCGTTGAGCTCGTCTGCACGGGCAGCAAGGGTATCGAGAGGTGCGGCCATGGCGGCAGCGACCAAAGTAGTGAGGGCGACGGTGAAGCGCATGTTGGCGGTATTGACTCGAATGAATGATTAAACTTTGTACGTTGATTTGAAAGAGCGCAGCTCGTAAATGAAGAACGGAGATTATAGAGTGGACCGGCACAAAAATAGGACGCTGAGGATAAAGAGTTCGTCGAAATATGGAAAGATGCGTGGACGAATACAGGTATTTCAACATTTCTCAGAATCGAACGGGGCGGATGCCTCGGATCGCCACAAACTCGACCAGAGCGAGCTTAGGAACTCCCGAGACGCACTGCTGCCGCAGAGCCGGTGTTGTGGATATCGAATGGCATCCCGCTGACGTTTCTTGGCAACGCGGACTCTATTTCCATTTCGAAACGGCGCTTTCGTCTCGCCTTGGCGAACGATTTTGGGTATGTGCTTGCTTACTGTGCTCGTGTTCTGTGGTGTTGTTCTGATGTACATTGCAAAGGCGTTTCGAGTATCAGGCGAATCGCATCCCTTTCTTGCCGTGGGGAGGCCTCGAACAGGGGCAGAGGTTCGTCGGCTCGGTGGGTGGGATTCGTGACCCAGTTTGTTTACGCTGATCAAACCTGGCCAGCATGTCCCGTAGGATATGCGCGATGAGGGGTCTCCCCGCACGGAAAGGCTGCGGGTTGGATGAAGAAACATCGGGTGAAGCGATACTTGTCGGGAGCCTGAGATTCCGTGCTCAGAGCCTCATTTCTTGCATTACATGCTGCACGAGTGCTCGGACGGCGAACGAATGAGATAGGTCTGGTTCTCACATGAATCATTTTAGTGTCCCTCACCCAGAAGACCTGAAAAGCCGGTCACCACAGCCACGTTTGCCTCATAAGCGAGAGACAGCTCATGGTCACGATCTTCCAGTTGAAATAGCGAAACTGGTCCTCGAGGTAAACAAAGATGCGAGTTGCAACTAGGGTTATGTCGATCCTGAAGACCTCCCGAGACGGCCCCATGCCGGGGATTTTTTTTGCCGCCATCCCGCTATTGCGTTGCAGCGTTTCGTTTTGCGTCTTGAGCTGTCCCAAAAGTGTCCCAGCGGCAGCGCGACCGTGCACACGAGGTTCCTCCAGACGCAAACTTGCCGCGTCTTCTTCACTCCACTTTGTAACATACATATGTTATGCATATCTCTTATGGACATTCTGCTTGTGCTCCGTATGAGTGGTTAGGTTATCCAAGGAACTCGCTGCTGATCGGCGGTCACGAATTACCGATCGATTGGTGGGCCTGGTCGATGTTCCTAGGATCAACGTTGAGACTAAGAAAACAATCCCTTGTTCGTTCCTCTGAACCAACAGCTTACCCAAGTCGGGAGGCCCTAAAGAACCCAGTCTTACCAGTGCCACCCTAAAAGCCGAACTACTTGTGGCAAGCGATTTTTATGGTGAGGCAAGTCTGAAGTACAGCCCTGGTGAGCACGGTATCCAGGTCTCGCCTCACCTTTGAGCACAACATAGGGCAGCTTATGCCCTCGCAACGGCCGGCAAATCAGCTGATCGGAGTCACGGCGAGTACATGATCAGCGCGAGACCTTAGGTGAGACGGTTAAAATACGGGAGGCTCTCGGCTTGCCAAGCAATCTTAAACTGTGCATTCTCAACTCTATGCCGACGACCAGGTAGGCTAACATACATGGCTCATTATTCTCGTAATCATTAAATATCCTTCGACTTCGTTGCCAAGCGATAGTCCATGCCTACCGTCACACTCCCGAACCAAAGCGCCAGCTTATCCACGATAAGGTTCCTTCTTCCATACCAAGGTCCCTGGTTAGTCACCACAGGCATTCGACCGTGCGCGCGGGTGAAGTAGTTGGATGTGGCATCTACACAAGGCAACCTGGGCGAATTCTTCTTCTCCTCGTCCGACAAGACGGGGGTGGCGGCAACGGCACCGGTCTTCTGCATCTGCTTGATGACACGGATGCAGAGCCGGGTCACGGTATCGGCGCCAGGAGTCCAGGTTTGAGTGACGTAGCCGATGATTGCAGCCGCGTTGGGCACGCCGTCGAGCATGCATCCGCGCCAGCTGTACTTCTCTCCAACCTTGACCGGGACGCCATCGACAGTGACATCCGTACCTCCGAAAAGCTGCACGTGCAGTCCAGTTGCCGTAACAATAATGTCGGCGGGCAGATGACGACCGGATTTGGTGAGAATGCCATCCTTGGTGACCGTCTCGATGTGATCCGTGACAATCTCCGTGTTGGGCTGGTGCAGCGTCTTAAAAACATCCCCATCCGGGCACATGTTGAGGCGCTGCTCGAAGGGGTTGTATTTGGGTTTGAAGTGGATATCGACAGGGTAGTCTTTGGGAAGCCGACGCTTTGCATCGAATCGGAGGAACTGCTTGGCCAGGTTGGGGAAGCCCAAAACAACCTGGATAAAGACAGTCTCCAGGAGAAGGTCCTTGAGCAGGATGAACCAGTTCGCCAAGAACAGAGGTAGGAACCTTTTCGCGGCTTTGTCGACTGGTGATTCTGCCCCTAGTGCGAAAACATACGACGGACTGCGCTGGAGGATGGTGGTGAAGCCAGCTGTTTTGGCGATATTGGGAAATAAGGTCATGGTGGTGGCGCCGGAGCCGATGATGATGACGCGCTTTCCAGCGTAGTCAAGGTCTTCGGGCCACCACTGAGGGTGGATCGTCTTGCCCTCAAAGCTCTCGATTCCGGGAATGTGTGTCTCCAGGGCCTTCTCGTAAGAATAGTATCCGGAGCAAACAAAGAGAAACTTTGCTTTGATCTTCTTGGTTCCCTGCGGGGTATTGCACTCCAGAGTCCATCGGGCCTCATCGCTGTCCCAATCTGATGACAACACCTTGTGCTGGAATCGAATGTGCTTGTCGATGTGGTGTGTCTTGACAGCATCTTCAATGTAAGCCGCAATGGGCGCGCCCTCGATGATCTTCTTGTCGTGAGGCCATGGATGCCATCCGAAGCCAAAGTTCGTCATGTTCGAGTCGGAGCGAAATCCGGGATATTTCCAGTAAGACCACGTCCCACCGACTACGTCACGGGCCTCGAGCACCGCGAAGGTGCTGTCTGGCAGCTCTGTCCGCACACGGTACGCGGCATTGACGCCGGAGATGCCTGCGCCAAGAATGAGGATGTCGAGTTCTTCCGCCATAGTTTCGATGGTCTGCTGTCGAGTTAGTGATAGACCTCTCAACACCTGAGGTCGTGATGGTAGTAAAGATCTTATGTATGGAAACTCGTGCGATCAGAGGATTTTTTGTTGAGGCAACGTGCATGCCGAGGCTTTTTTTTTCCTAGCGGGTCATGCACGCGTCGATCTCGTGCTTGGTGGAGGATGCCATGCAGGGGCTCGCATGTCTTAAAGCGTCTTGACGCCTCCTCAACCCCTCGATCCAGCCTCTCTTTGGCTGCTTCGTCCCTCCACTACCATGCGAATGCGAACGACAGCGTCAATCAAAACACGTGCCTCGGCACATTTGACGCTTCGACAGCGCTTCTGTGCGTCTATCGACCTATCCATTTGATGGCGACTATCTTAATTGTCTTTGTGCTTTGGAATATTCGCCGTCGCCTCATGTTTGTGCCTCGGCAAGCATCTCTTACTCGCATTCGTTCGACTTCAGAAGGCATAGACCGATGCTCATACAGGATTTTGTATCAGAGCAACTGAAAACTATGTGGTTTCAATTGCACTAAGGTAATGATGGCAGACATCGATCTATGCTCCTGACTTCACATGCGAATGCCAACGCAAGCGGTTGGTGGGCGGCAACAATTGGATGGATGGATCAAAACAGAGTTGCGTTAGTGAGATCCGTCAGTGGTTCGTGTCATGTGATGTTGTTCGAGTTCAACACTAGAAGGCCTCGTCTATGCGGCCGAGTCTTGAGTGTTGCCACGCGGCACTTCTAGTCCGGTCAAGTAGTCAATTTTTTATTGCTACCTTGCTGTCGTGGAATGGGTAATAGGAATTCTGGTGGCGAATGTTTTACGTCTATCTTTGTTGAGATAGGAAAAATGAACGTACTATGCGTACTTGAGGTGTTTCCGTGAAAAGTTCAGAGACGGGAGACAACCCATCGTTGAGAGTGAGAGATTTAAGAAAGAAGCAGTCTAAATGTTTGATGCGTAGCAGCACCCCACGTGATAATATCATCGTATATTGCACCGGATTTGCAGTGCGGTGAGTTCCATAGTGATGCTAGGTAGGTCTCATGGAACCATCAGTCCATTTATCATCTGATTGAACGACGTCATCATGCTCATCCATTTTGTCAAGGCTATTTATCCTGTCGCCCACGTGGCAGAGCCAGACCATATTCTACAACTGCCAACATAGGTAATACGCAGGGCAGGTGGACTGAGCAAGACAGATACCATACTCACTAGTTACCGTAGATGATAAGCTTATCTAATAAAATTTGTATAACACGCACAATTCGGCATTGGATTTATCCAATTGAACCATCCTTCTAGTACTTCTCCCTTGTTCCCATGCAGAACCAGACGGATGTTAGCACAAAGGTTCGGACGTCGGTTCATGACACAATGATGTTACCTGTTTGGACATTTTCTAAATATGCCTATTTTGGCAGGTTACCAAGTGGGCCGGAAGGCATGAGTGGTAGGAGAACAAAACCTGGAGAGGTATTTTCCAGGGAGTAGGACCGAGTAGTCGAAAAAGGTACCTTATTCAAGGAATGCTTTTTGAATCAAACTGACTAAAGAACAAACATCTGGTTCCAAGACAACACACACACCCACAGTGATGACTGCACTGTCAATTCTAAACCTGGCTTTGGAACTTTGAGCACTGCAATGGACAAACCAGCCAGAAACGTGCAACTTTATATGCGTTGAACTAATCGCTTGGGTCTCAGTAACTTCCAACATGCTCATTGCTGTGACTCTAACGAAGCCTAAATAACTAAATGCACGCCAACATAAGCATAATGAGCGCTAAAAAGACCATTAAAGATATTGCAGTTTATTACACAAGCCACGAGCTATCAGCTTCGCGAATCAAATAGCT